CTTTCCCTCTGGATTTGTTACTTTTTCACATGTAGATATCTCAATCAGGGTTGAAAAATCTCTGCTGTCACCGGCCGCCAGCTTTGCTGCATGGTTTTTTTCCCTCTTTGGGTGACATTTTGCTGCAATATCACCCAGAATATCATTTAATTAATTGCTCATTTGGCAGAAGTTAAGGATTCGGCTCATTATATTTGACTTTTGCAGAATTTTCCGGAGGATTTCTCCCCTTCCCACAACCTGCCACAGAGATAACGGGATGGATTTCCCACCTGGCAAGATCCCAATCTGCAACCAGGATAAATCCCGCAGTATCCCAAGGGCTGATTTGCTCCTATATCCACCCTTCTGGGGCTAATTCCTTTGGTATCGGGGCACGAGTGTAGTCAGTGCCCGATCTACACCGTTACCCTGGTGTAATTCCCGGTGGAAATCAGAAATAAGTCGGTCAAAGTCAGTGTCGCTTCGCTAAGAGTTGGAGCAGAACCAGGAGCCGCTCGGAAAAACAACAATTAAATTTTTCCTTAATTTACAGCAGGTGGCAAAAACCGGCGCCAGAAAAGAGCGAAACGCTCTAAAAATTGGTGTCTCCCATCGGCCGTTCAACTTCACCGCGGGGACGGGAGGCCGAGGACCTACCATTGATGTGATTCTCCGAGTAGTTTGACTTCAAGAGCTCTAACTCTGCCATGATTTCCACCTCTGAAATGAAAATGAAGAAAAAAAAGCCCAGTTGGATCATACCGAGGAATCCCCAGTGGCATAATAAATCTCCCGGATTCACAGCTTTTTTGGGCCGAGTGGGGAATTTCAGAGCGGATTCAAAATTTTCCCAATTTACAGCTTTTTCTGAGTGGCGTGGGGAATTCCAGAACAGATTTACTCCGGGTTTACACCCTGTAGCAAACGGGGAGCGCCATCGAGGCAGGCAGAAGGAGGCAGCGCCCAGACGTAGCACCCTGGAGGCGATTTGGTGAGAAAACCCAAAAAAATCACGAACTGGGGTGGAATTCAAACCAAGATGTGGCGACGGTTGGGTTTTAGCCCCAGAGGGACGCTTAAAGCACGGTGTGGACAAGCCACATGTTATTCTTAACAGTGAAAATGTGAAATTTTTTGGGGGGGGGGGGTGTTTTAACCAAACCAGTTGCTTCCCAGCCCATCTGGGATCCTTCCGGAGACACTCACGCTTCATCATGGCCAGCGTGAAGAACAGCACCCACGCGGCGAAGCTCAGCGCTACCAGGACATAGAGGACGGTGACCGATGCCATCCTGCGGCTCCGTCCCCTGCCACCACTGGACTCTGGGTCACCTGCAGGGCAGCGTGGGGGGAATCGGGGAGGAATCCCAGCTTCCTGGGTCTGGATCCAGCCAAGCTTTCCGGTGTGGGATAGCAGCATCGGTCAAGAACGACTCACCCTTTTGGGAAGGGTTTGGAGACGCCGGTTTCCCTGCGAGGATGTAAACCCCTGTTGGGAGGAAGGAAAGAGTCACTGGGTGATGGTTTTGGGGTGTTTTAGGTCAAAACCCCACCCCACGGAGGTCCTCAACCGCACAGACAACGTGGAGAGAGGAGGTGGGTGCTACCTGTGCCTGCTTTGCTCCTCTGGCTCTGCAGATCTTCCTTGGCCACCGGCAGCTGGCGGCCACGATCTGACTCCGACAGGGACACGTCGTCGTAATCGTCCTCGAAGCTGTCCGGGGACGCTACACGAGAGGCAAAAACGGGTGAAAAACAGAGTTTTTACACCAACTGGGAATCTCAGACATGAACAATCACCTCAGTCCTTCAGCAAGCATGAAAAACGCAATTTCCCTTCACCTTTAGCAAATCCACAGCACCTCCAGCAAGGTTTTTACACCCTCTTCTCAATATATATTGATTTTATTGGTTTTACAGAGTTTTACAGCGTCACTCCGCTCTTTCGGAGCCAGGTTCTCCCCTCAGCTGCAAATCTAAGCAATTCTGCCGAAGTCTGCAGCTCTCCGTGGTGGGAGGGGGTGAATTTGAGCCCGCAAAGGTGCAAACGCCGGCTCTGAGAGTGAGGATGGAGCGATCAATTCCCCCTCGATTCCCCCCCTCCCATCCTGGGCGGATTTTCAGGATATTTTTGGGGCAATTTGATCCCGTTTGACAGGAGGAACCAAATGCGGCGAGAAATGCCGCGTATAGCAAGTCACATTTGACCAACCGAGCTGAAAAACAAGTCCAGTTCGGCCTCAGGGAGCCACCTACAGCAGTTCTGCTTTCCATCTGCACTACAAAAAAGCCTGAAAAGGTGAAAAAACGATGATTTACCTGGTCTGAAGTCACCCACGGCTGCTGTATTCCCAGCAACGGAGTAAATTCCTGCCAAGAAAAGAGAAGAAAAAGAGCATTGATAAGGGGAGGGGAGGAACCTCAAAACCACTGCCGGCGCTTCTTCTAACCTCGTTGCCACCAGCAAGGAAGTTGCCGATGCTTTTTTAAGGCCCGGTGAGGAGTTTACACCTGAAATTGGGGCAAAATCTGGAGATTTAGGGACTCCTGAGCGAAGGGCGGGACCCGCACGACTCTGAGCATCCCAAAGGCCCTGCTCTGTACCACAGCAGTGCCCCGCCAGCGTACTTGGATGCTGCCGCTCTTCACCAAGGCACCCGCCAGCCCCAAAAACACATGCCAAGGACACATCAAGGACACAGAGAGGGCGTTCTCCCCAATTTTACCTGCTTGTCTCACCAGCCGCTTGGTGGGCGCCGGCGGTGGGGGCAGCAGTGACATGCAAATGGGCGGCGAAACAACGGTGAGACTGCACTCTTCGCCGTGCAAAAAAAACAAAACAAAACAAAACAAAAAAATACACCTTTTCGGTGGACTGTGGCATCTGGTGAATTTGGGGATGATGAGTCGGTTTTGGGGGGGAGAGACGGTGATGCCGTGAGAGCTCTGCTCCCGGCGGGAATTTGAAGGCAGCTGTGTCGCGTTAAATGGTTTCAAGGAGTCTGGTAAGTGGCGAGGAGGGGGGAAAGTCCTCCCGTTGAGTCACAAGGTTCAGAGTGGACCCCCTTGCTTTCTAAACTCCTCCGGGAGAGGAGCCTAGGCGCAGCTGGATCCACTCCTAGTCCCAGACTTGTTCAACGGTTGATGTCTAATGGATTCGGTACGTAGCCACTTATCAGAGTCAACGTTCACCTGCCGGAGCCCTCGCAGGGACTGAGACTGTTTTGCCATGTTGAAAGAATGGGTAATTTATTCAAGCAATGGCTATCATGGTGCATTTATCAACAGCAATCCCAAATTTATCTACAAAAATTGAGCTCGAGTGAATAGTTCAGCACTTTAGTTCATAATATTTTCCCTTGGATGCATCCAACAATATCAAAGGTGAGACTCTTACCAAAAAGTCATCCCTTCTTGTGGGGGTAGAGAGGTTGAGGCCCTTCGGCCTGTCCGTCAGGTGAGGTTTTCTTTTGACAGGTCCTCCAAAAGAGGGTTTGCGAGTACTGATTTTACACCTTCGAAAAAACCTTCAGTGGGTCTTGGCGAAATGGGATGAAGTCAATCACCACACGTCAGTCGGGTCTTGGCGCAGCACGTCGTGGTGTCGGAAGCCGGACTGAGAGGTTCGGTGCGTCCTCGGGGAGCTTGGTCTGGTCTTACGGGGTCTTTCGTTCTTTAACTGAAGCATCTGGCTGTTTGGCCTCCGCCTCACCCCGTGTGCCACGGAGTTGATATGAAAGTTGAATCACCACCCATTAAATTCTGCTAAGATAAGCAAAGTTGGTTGTTCATGTCGAACCACACCCTTGAGTTAACTCCTCGCTGTTCGACACAGGAGTCTGAGCGAGTCCCCCTCCGGCATCGAGAAGTCCGGCATCCCACAAGCTTCCATGTGGCTTTGGGTTTTTTTTTAGGGATTACAGATAAAACTGCCACAGTGGCACCTACGGGTGTTAAGAACCATGCAGAGAAAATCCCAGCTCTTCACCGGAGCGGCGGTCTGTGCCGGGAGGGGAATCCAGCGGTGCGGCCTTTCGGCAGAGCAGGCGTCTCGCTTCGGCACCCACGAGTCGGGGGATTTGCATACACGCCCTGATAACACGCTGGCATGCCGTCTTCGCTGGTCTCTCTTCCCTTTTTGGGGGCATTTCTTACCTAAACCCTGGGAAAAAAGGTGCGTACCGACCCTCCTCAGCACCGCGTCAGCTCGATTTCTGTGGGTTGGGTTCGAATCGTAATCGTAGCGCTTTATTTATTCTTTTTTTTTTTTTCCTGATTAACCAGCAAGCGATACATCGAGCCGCAGCACAGCAGGTAAACGGCCCACGAAATATTAACAAACGCCCCAAAAATCTCTAAATGCCCTCCCCCGAAGAGTTGACCCCCTTACACCCTCCGCCACAGCGCTGCGCCCACCGCTTTTGGGATGCGGGGTCCCCATTTTTGGATGCCTGTTTTCCCCAGACCCTCTTGTTATCACCCTGCGCTTGGTTACGCTGGATTTTTACTGGTTTTCCCCCATTTTTAAGCTGCGGGGAGGTGAGCAGGAGGCGTGGGGGAAACCGTTAGCAGCTGCGCTCGCAGATCCAGGCCTCGCTGTTGGAACAGGTAGCGTCGTTCCAGTGGCCGCTGGAGTAGATGGTGACACAGTCCTCGCCGTGGTGGCCCACGTTGTTGGGTTCTCCGCTGTTCCAGAACCTGGGAGGGCGGAGCACACCGCTTTGGGTGGAAAACTCCCCGTTTGGGAACTCATTCAGTTCTAGGGGTTTTCTTTTAACTAGGGGGGAGTCAGGCAGAGAGCACACTGGCCCCACAGCATCTCCCGGGGAGGGCAACGGCCCCCAAAAAAAACTTCCCCCCCCATTTAATGCCACAATGCAATATCAGTGATTTTTTTTTCCCATTTCCCCCTTGTTTAACGGGGGAAAACAGCTCCGTTTTAATCGCGGTGCTTTTCCCAAAATCCCAAGAATTAGGAGATCTGTTAGAAATAACCCCTTCAACTCAGGGTGTGGGGACTCGGTCGGGAACCAACCGAGCTCACAGGGGAACTGCACAGGCGCTGCAGCTCCTTGCACATCCCCAGCTGGGTTTTCCGCCCGAAAACCACAGCGAAATTGGGAGAAAAAAGCCAAAATCAGGCCTGCAGCGGCAGCTCCTCTTCCCTTTCCCTCCACCCAGGATTTTCAGGTGCCGCGGGAGTATGAAACTTCTTTCTGTGCTTTTTAAGCACTAAACCAGAGCGGACGACTGCGCTAATGAGGGTGTGGTGCCTTATTTTGAGCAAAAAAGGGGGCGAGGGAGAACAGAGCTGATTTTTAGGGGGGCAATTTACCCTCCGATGAGGCTAAAAACGTACGTGAGAGAGAGGGAGCGGCCGTCCACCCACTGCCAGTCGCCTTCTTTGTGCGCGTCGGTCAGGCCCAGCCAGAACACCCGATTGCCCATGATGTGATTTGCCAGAAATTTCTGCAAACAAAGCAGGGAAAGGAAGAAAAAAAAGAAAGAAAGAAGTGTCGGGAGGGGAAGTGGAAGGTGACAGCAAAGGGATTCAGTGGCGCCGAGGCCAGCGCCGGCAGTCGGTGATGTCAGGGAGCCCGTCCCTTGAGGGGCGAGCTGTAACGTGCCACCAGCATGACCAAAAAAATGCAATGTTTCCCATCGGAAATGGAAAAAAAGGCATTGAGATGTAGAAGACTTGGAGGGAGAAGCTTTAAAAAAAGCTGGAAAATTTGGGCCGGTGAAAGCAGCCCAAAGAAAGGAGGTGGGGATTGTCTAAATTGAGGTGGAAAAGCCAATTTCTGCCCAGTTTAGATTCTATTTCTGTAGCTCGTTCTGTAATTCTGTAATTTCTCAACGACTTTAATAATTTCTAAACAATTTCTATCATTCCTACATGACGGTGAGGAGGGATCACCGCTGAGGCACGGTGGCATCCCCCCTGCTTTTTCCCAAAAAACCCCTTCAACCACGCCAGCCATTTTGGGGACAGATTCATGCAATTTTGCCAAATTACTTCAGAACCAAGCAGGAACCTCAATAGGTTGCGTTTTCCGCTCGCTGCAAGGCAGCCTTGAGTCGCCCATGCTTGACCTCCAGCTTTCCATTGGTGGGGTTGGAGTCTGATATTCCCCTAAACTCACAAAATCTGGGGTTTTTTTCACTTTTTACAGGATTTCCCAGCTTACGTTCTCCTGCTCGCTGTCGATGACGGCCAGGTGGGCGTTGAAGCCGGCGCAGAAGTCTGCAGCGCTCGGCCAGGGTTTGGTGGTGGCAGAGAAGAAATAGCAGGTTTTGGCAAACTGCTGCCAGCCGGCAGGACAACTCATGCAGAGAATTTCTATGGGGAAACGGGGGAAAAAAAGGAGGAGAAAGCATGGGCGAGGGCAAAGGGACACCCACCGGCTGAGCCCGACTGCTACCCCTCACCTGAGAGGTTGCGCGTCCCCTCCAACGCCGCGTCAAGAAGTGCCGACGCGCGGCTCTGCTCCTGCTTCACCTCCGCCAGCTGCCGCAGCACTGGCTCCAGCGTGTCCCTTTCCTCTGCCGGGGGAGAGAAGAAAAGGTAATTCAGCTGTTGCAAAGACCTGAAAAACCCAGATTTTATCTCCTTTCCCCTTTTTCCTTTCTGTCCCGGTTTACACCGTGACTTTCGTTGCGTGTTTTCCTGGTGCGAGTTACCGTTCCCTAAACTTCAGGCAGTGAAACCTCGAAGCTTTTGTCGAACGGGCTTTTTATTGCGCTTGCCGATGGGCTGAGAAAGCCTTTTTTCTGTTAATACTCTACTTCATGATATCTCAGGCTCATTAAGATCGGCTGTGTGCGCTCCCTGTGCGCATTTTAGGAATCTCTGAAGCATCTACCCAATACCACGTGGTTTAGGAATCGAGGAGAAAGACCAAATTGAACAATTTTCCATCGAAATCAGGCTCTCACCCAGGACACGGACGCGATCCGACAGCTCCTTCCCGCACCCTGCTTTGCACTGCGTCATCTTCCACCGCGCGTTCTCCACTTCTCGCGACACTGGAAGGAGGAAAAACTCCGCTTTTGACCCCGTTTCGATGCTGCCTGCGCCTGGTATTCGGGATTCTGCCCATATTTCCCAAAAAAAATGCCTTTTCCTTGGCGTACCGTTCAGAAGTCGGCTGTGAATCACCTCGAGCTCGGCAGACAGCTGTTGATCTAAGAGGAAAAGAAGAGAAACCTCAGAACAAGTCCCAACTGTCTCTATCCTGATGGAAAGTGGCTTCAGTTCAGTTTTTGCTGGAAGTAGCGTCCTGGGAAGTGCTGGGAGGGGGGAAATCCGTGCGGATATTGAGGATGCAGCGGGTGCCAGGGAGCCATTTTGGGGCGAGGTGTCGTACCGAGGGCGTGCTGGACCTCCGAGAGGTTGTGCCACGCTGTCGCGTGGCTGTTCTCGCTCCGCGTCCGGGCTTGTTCCAATGCCTCCCACGCTGCAGATACTGGGGGAGGAGAAAAGAGGGCTCGTCTTCACTCTGGATACCACCCCGGAGAGTTCACGGTCTGCAAAAAGGCCTTCAGTCCTAACTCGAGCCAGTTTTTGCTCCATTCGCTGGTGTTTTCCCCCAAATTGTGCCCACCCCGTGCTGAGCGGGAGTGATCGGAGCAAGAGGCACGCGGCGGACTCACCTCTCTGGAGATTCACGATGGCGAGAGTCGTGAAGAGCACGAAGGCGAGGGCCAGAAGCACGTACAGCAGCGTGATGGCTCTCTCTGGAGAAAAGGCTAGAAGGGACAGCACTGAGGGGGGTGAAATGGGGTGAGGTGACCCCGAATAACTCCCCCCCCCAGCAGATATTTTCTGAAAGAAAAGCACAAAGCGGGCATATATTGTCTGAAAGAAAAGCACAAAGAGGAGATATCCCCCCCAAAAACCACCTTTCAAGTGGCTCCACCACCTTTTTCTCCACGCTGAAACCTCTTTTTCCTAAATTGTGAACCGACAGAGGAACCAGGCCTCAAAACTTGGCTATAATTTCGGCAAAAGACCGGTTTAAAGATCTGAAACTCTCCAGTTTCGTGTCTCTGGATCCCCAAAGCCGCTCCCTCACCCCGATACCTCCTTTAGGCACTTTCCTCCGGTCTTGCTTCTCCACCTCCATCCTCGCGTCGAAATCCCATTTCTTGTAGGTGCCGACGGCACCTTCGCTTTGTGACATCTCTGACCCTTTTTCGATATCGGCCCAATTTATGCGGTGGGGAAAGACGCATCATCTGATAGTGGGTGGGGAAGGAAATGCTCACATTTCATAATTCTGATTTCCTAGAAAAAAAAAAAAAAAATCTGCAGACTCAAGAGCTTTCGAGCAGCTGAGGCGCTTGGGCAGCTGCCCGCCACGTGTCACAGCCCCTTCCCTGTTGATTTTTAGAAGAATTGGTTAAAAAGTACACTCTGATACATCCCTCTCCTCAGACGAGGCCGACACCAGCCCAAGGAGGGTTTTTTCTGGAGGTCTCATGCCAAAGCGGAGACCAGCATTCTCCAAGGTGAGCACCAAAATTCAGCTTTTTTTTGGTTTTTTGGTTTAGTGGGAATACTTTAGCATTTTGCTCAGTGGTTTTGTGACCATTTCTTGTGTTTTTAACACGAGAATCTTAGCGCAGGGAAAATCCTCATTTTTTGGGCACCATTTCCTTCATATCTTCTCCAGAAAATTCGTTTCGCTGCCTGAAAGCCCTCAGGGCTTCGAGCCAGGTGTCCCCTGGGCTGGCTAGCGTGGAAAACAAAAGTTAGAACTTATGAATAACTTCAGCGTTGACAGATTCAGCTAAATTTCACAGCAGCACCTCGGGAAGAGCAAACACAAACGAAAGTTGAACATCCCTCACGCCTGTTCCCTTGCTCTCGAGGCAATCGGCTTCCTCTTTTTGTCCGACTTCCCCTTTTTCGATCCCGAATTTAGGGGAAGTCGAGGCCAAACTCCTCCCCATGTTGGCCGCTCATGCCCTTGGGGCTCTGGCACTTTCTAAGCGGCAATGCGGTCAGTTTTGGGTTGAAACGCTGTGAATTCAGCCCGTGCGCTCTTGCGGTGCTTTCCCCTTCTGCTGTCAGCATGTGGTTTGTCCCGGTGGAGTGGGAGAAGGTTAAAAAAAGTCAAGGATGGCGTGATGGATGCACCAGCAGGCTGTGCTGGATCCAGCGAGACCTGGACAGGCTGAAGAGTTGGGCAGAGAGGAACCTGATGGAGCTCAACAAGGGTAAGGGCAGGGTCCTGCACCTGGGGAGGAACAACCCCAGGCACCAGGACAGGCTGGGGCTGACCTGCTGGGAGCAGCTCTGCGGAGAGGGACTGGGAGTGCTGGGGGACGACAGGTCGACCAAGGGCCAGCAGCGTGCCCTGGGTGCCAAGAAGGCCAATGGGATCCTGGGGTGCACCACAAGGAGTGTGGGCAGCAGGTCAGGGAGGTTCTCCTCCCCCTCTGCTCTGCCCTGGGGAGGCCCCATCTGGAGTGCTGGGTCCAGTTCTGGGTTCCCCAGTTCAAGAAAGATGAGGAGCTACTGGGGAGAGTCCAGCGGAGGGCTGCGAGGATGAGGAGGGGACGGGAGCATCTCCCCTACGAGGAAAGGCTGAGGGAGCTGGGCGGAGCCCTGGCCCAGGCTGCCCAGGGAGGCTGTGGAGTCTCCTTCTCTGGAGATATTCCAGCCCCGCCTGGCCGCGGTGCTATGCCCCCTGCTCTGGGTGACCCTGCTTGGGCAGGGGGTGGCACTGGGTGACCCACAGAGGGCCCTGCCAACCCCGACCATGCTGGGATTCTGGGATTCTTTTTTTTAAGCTGAAAAAAATAGAAGACTGAGATAAAAGTCAAGAGTGGACTGAAAACACCAACTGTTACCGCTAAACCTCCCATGTCCTTATCTGTTTAACCTTTTTTAGGGTTTTTTTCTCGTTTTATGTTTTAAACACTGGAGCTGGAGTGGTTGAAAAATCCCTTTAAGCTCCAAGAAAAGCCACTTCTCGGAAGGGTTAAAGATATCCTCAAGGGCACCTCAGCACCCCCAGGTCCTGGGGCCACCTCCCGCATCCCACCGCCCGGGGACTGGCAGAGCTCTGTGTCCCATTGTCCCCAGGGACGCCCCACGCGCCATCACATCCCTGATGGCCCCCAAACCCTCCTCCCTGGGGAACTGGGGACCCCAGTGGCCCCCCCATCCAGGCCCGGTGGGAATGGGGGATCCCCCCTCCCCCCCCCATGGAGAATGGGGTTTTCCCCCCTTACATCACCCCAATACCCCCCTCTTTGGGTAACCAGAGACCCCCTACACCCTTGTCCCTGGGGTCCTGGGGACCCCCATCCTGGGTCTCCGACCCGTGCTCCCTCCCTGAGGGCACAGAGAGCAACTTCACCTTGGACCCCTCACCACAGCGCTGCCATCAGCTACTCGACGCCCCATAGGTGGAAGCGACTGTCTATCATCCTCGTCAGCCAATAAGAACGTCATATCTCCCCAGGGAGGCAGGATCAGCCACCTGTGCTGGAGGGGTGAATGCTGCTTAGTCTCCACATCCCCATATGCTGCCGCACCTTCTCCTGCGCTAGCGATTGGTAGATTCTCCTGTCAATCAAATCCAAACCCTCCAGCTGAAGAGGCTGGGCTTGTTGCCCTCTCCTGTCAGCCAGGTTGCCACTCCAAGGGAGATGTGGCAGCCGATTGGTCTCTCTGACTATCAATCATCACCCCTCCCATTCGCCTCTCAGCAAGGCGGTGCCCACCCCCTCCCGGTCGAGGGGAAAACCATCTCCTTGACTCTCATTGGAAAGGCGGCTTGCCCATCAACAACC